CCAAATCTTTGGCTTCATAATGGACCGGGGGCAGTGATACGAGCAATCCAAAGGATATGCAATGTTGATAACCCAAAGGCGCTTGAATTGATGCGACCAGAGTTTTGTGACGGTCTTGTGGTGGTGCCGCGAGTCGTGTTCTTTCCATTAGACCCAATGGAAGCTATTCGCACAGAACCAAAAATTGTCGAAGAAGCGCTCAAGAAAGTAACAAGCGAAACGGTTGGAATTCATATTTGGACCAGTCATACGCGTGATATTGACATTTTGAAATCTGGACCGCCTATGCTTTACACGATCATGGCACAGAAGTTTTGCCCAAAATCATACGAAGCATCTGGATTACACTTCAATTGAAAATATTAGTGATTTAAAGTTTAAAATTGATTATTTTTTATTTCTAAAAAAAATGAGGTGATATATTCTTATACTGCTTATATGAAAGAATGTGTTTGAATAAATGCTCACATTTGACCAATTGTTAGTCTTTTACACGTCTAAGTATGAATTTTTGTTCATCAGGGAAATACCTTTTCACATTGAGACACTTCTCTGACCCATTTAAGTGTCATGATGAGCTTGAAAGCAGTTCATTGAAACTGACTCCATACTTACAGAAATATGGTGTTTTCCTTCGGTTCGGCTTCCTAATTTTATTTCAAATCAAAGTAAAACATAATCGAATTCGATTAGAAATCGCTTTATTCATGAAACATAATAGAAAATTGTTTGTAATCCGACATTTATACATATTAATTTTTCATTGTTTGTTTGATAATTTTCCGATCGGTGATTCCCTTGGAACTATCGGAAAAGTGTAGCTCTATATCTTCTAATGATCGATTTTCTGTCTCGGGTAAAATGTTGTATGTTAGTATTAGACCAATGAAAGATATGCAAGCAAATAGTAACGAAACACCCGGCAATGAGAGCGTTGTTTCCAAATCATAATAGGTACGCCGGCTAATGAATCCAAAAATAAAATGCATTGCAGCTGCAATCCCACTGCCGATGCCCCGAGACCTAACACATTATGAAATGAATATTCATTTGTATCGTTTCGAATAAAAGTCTGCTGTGATAAAGGTTTCTTTTATTCTGAACCTTTAGAAATCAACATATAAAATTAAACGTTGAAAACTACAAAAAATACTCACTTAAATGGGAACATTTCCGACAGCAACATCCAAGGCACTGTGTTCAAGCCGCAATATGAAAAGGTGTTCCACATCATCAAACAAATCATTGGAATGTACCCAAGTGATTGGTTTTCCAAATGGAATGGTTTGTTATTTGTTTGATCGAATGAAATATGGCCTGGCGGAAGGTAAGTGAATCCAAACCACGAAATAATTGAGGTGCACACGAGCACACCTGATATGCAAACGAGATAAATTCGACGTTTTCCCGTGAATCGAACCAAAATCATGATTATCACATTTGTCACATTGTCAAGCATACTCATGATTGTCACCGCTTGATCTGATGCAATAGGACTGTCGTAAGCTTTGAAAATTTGCACAATAAATGGTCGCATTGATAGATTTCCCGTGAATTGAGTGAGGAAAAACATTGAAATTACAATGAAGAATGGCCGAAGCGTTTGTCTTCGTTTGAATTCTGTGAATTTTTCACTAAGTGTTGGCAAAGGGTGTGTACACTCTAGATCGTATTTGATGCACTCAAAACAGGATTTTGCACGTTTACTGTGTCGTTTCAAGTCCTGGAATTCCTTGGCCACTGTTTCACTTGACACCCAGCCTCTCAGCCAGCGGAGGCTTTTTTCAGCATCAGCAGTTCGATTCTTTGATAGGTTCCATTGTGGACTTTCTGGGATCTATTGAGCGGGAAAAAAGAATGATTTCATCAAAAAAGAAGGGAAAATGATTGCTTGTTTTGAGAACTAAACTTACAAAACATATCGAAATCGCTGTGATTATCGGCACAGCCAAGTAAACCATGCATATTGTTCGCCAAGCCATCAATGTATTCAGCAAAAAAGTCGTAAACACTCCTATGGTTCCATAAATGAATGAATAACCGATCAAGATACCTCTAAATTGAGGTTCACTGTAATTACACAATTAATTAACAAGATTTCAAAGATTAACAAGATTAAAAAGATTTTATTTGGATTTCGATCGCTGCTTAAACTCGACAAAAAAGTTAATTCGAAAACCGGACACCCGAATTTCTCAAACAGGCTCCGTTTAAATAGTAATTTTGTTAAACATAGTTGCTTTCAAATCAATCCTCACCAGATTTCGCCTAGATACCTTATACCAGATGTGATGGATGTGTCGAGATTGAGATATGGAAAAGAAAATCATTCAACATTGGTTGATGAAGAAAAGAATTATTATAATTACGTTAAAATCGAAGATTCCATCAGTCCAACGGCCAAACCATGAAGAATCTAATAATAATATTTGATAAAAAAAAAAATATAATAAATTCATAAAAAAAAATTAATTTTCCAAATAATAATACTTTGCCAGCAAAAACGTGCCAAATAGCACTTGATTGATACAATATATACCATCCAATTGCGAATGGAATATTGATAGGTTAAAGAATAGGTTGAAGATGGAGAGAGTAAATAAAAGA